TTTTTTAAAATGAGGTTAAAATTTATTAATTTTATAAGATAAAAAATTAAAAATATCATATTATAAAATGAATAATTAAAATCTATTAATTTTATAAGGTAAAACCTAAAAAGTTGGCTTTTGCTGAAAAAATTAAGAGAGTCGTGCGTCCCTCCCAAGGCTCTTTACTCCGAGTCGGCGTTGGAGTTAATTTTTTACTTTCCTGGAATAAAAAACCCAAAGGGGTGGAAAAATATTTCCTTTTTGGCAATCACTTGAAAGTTTTTATTAAACTGGTGATAAAATTTATGAAACTCCTAACAACGTGGAAGTGTAGTTCTATTTAGTAATTAATGTTTTATTGTTTTATAAAATCTTGAATATCAAATACTCCCAGGCAATTGATATTTTTAGATTTTAGAGTAATAAAAATTAGGAAAACAAGAACGAGGATATGTGAGTTTGCAGTAATATGGTGGAGTCAAAAAGGGCGAGCACACTAGACCTTTTCGTGTCTCCACTTTCAATTCTCCCAAATACCCTCAGACGGTGGGAAAGTGGAATACGAAGTTAATGAACCAAGGAGGAGATTATTAGACGTTTACAACATAAACGGAGATTGAATTGTCCTTCTTTTTCTAATTAATGACTTCTACTTCCCAATTTTTAGAAAATGACTTGTATCATTGTTTCATATCGTAAAACAAATTAAAGATTTAATAACAATTTAATTAATCAAAATTTTGGTAATTTAATTAAAAATTTTAAATTTAAATCTTAATTTAAGTGAAAAAAATTAAAAATAGAAAAGAATTAGTTTTCTTGTTTATTCTATTATGATGTGTAAAAAAAAACAACTATGTTGAGTCTTGATGGCTACTAAAAAGAAAGAGAAGGAAAGGTGATATAACAAATAAAATAAAAAAATTTGTGTGTGCATGGTATCTTCAAAATAGAAAAATTTTAAAAAGAAAAATCAAATGACACAATAATCATAAAAAAAAAAAAGAAGAAGGTAAAAGTACAAAAAAACCTATTATATAACTACCGCGTAACTATAATAAAAAGTAATAGTTAATATGTTTCTTTGTGATCTTATTAGCTTGCGCTATTTTAATCTTGTCCTAATACATTCGTCAAATAAATAATATAGTAAAATCTAAAGTTTAAAAAAGAAATTCCAAAGATTGAAGGAAGAAAATAAAGAAGTCTGATATTAAATCAACATGATCCAACAAGAAATGGGATCATTACACTGGAAATACACGACGGAACTAGTAGCTAGTAACAAAAGCAGTTTGACAGTTCATTTAGACACCAGACAAGGTAGTAACAGCACCAGCAAGCCTCCTCACTGTAACAGAAAAGTCAACCAAAACACCAAAAGATTACAAAGAGTTTGACAATAGAAAATAAAGAAAAAGGAGATGTGATGTGCACGTTGGAAAATTTAGGTGGGTTTCTGCTTATTGAATTTAATTTTTTTAAAATTAGGTCAAATGATGTGCAGAGTCTCAGAAACATGGTACGAAGAGAAATTACCATCTTTCAAGGCAACCCGGCTCTGGCTGGGGTGGTTGTGCTGGGTACTGGGGTGGTTGTGCTGGGTACTGGGGAGGTGGCATTACTGGGGGTGCTGGATAATTCCCGTCACCAAAAATTTGAAAAACCAAAATTTACAGAATTAATCAGTACCCAAAATGGAAGCTTTTTAGAGCAGAAGAAAGAAAAGCGCAAAAAAATCCGGAAAGCCTTAACAACAGAGAACCCCATGCGCAGATCATGATAGCTGAACAATTATAAAAAATAAAAAAGCATCCTCATTTGAAAAGTCTACAGCTCATTCCCTAAGTAAAAACGATTTTTTTGTAAACAACAATAATTAAACTAAAAAATCAAGGCTTGATCAATTGTAATGCAAAATCTGAAGAAAGAACATCAGAGAGGCAAAACTAAGAATCAAAAGGAAAAGGGGAATGAATTACCTTGAGCAGGATAGGGTTGAGCAGTGTAAGGTTGGGCAGGGTAAGGTTGGGCAGGGTAAGGATAAGCATACGTAGGGTTACTCATATATCTGCTGAGGGAAGGAACACAGAACTAAAAGCCTAACCTCTGCCCTTCTTTATTTATAGATAATTGAAATAGCGTATAATCATTGGAACATTGACGGAGACGCCTTTAGAGGTAGTAGGTCGTGGATGACTTCTCTTCCCACTTGCCCAGCCGCCAATTTTTTTTTTTTTTTTTTTTCACACCTTTGTTTTCATCTGAACCAGAAAAAAAAAATATATATATATATTTACATATACATATACACACATGTAAATAGATATCTATTTAGATTTAAATTTTATTTATTACATTTATATAAAATTTTAATAATTAATTTTTTTATTTTTAATAATTAAAATTTATTTATATTTATTAAAAATAATTATTTTTTATTTAAAAATTAAAATTATAATAA